AAAGATGACATTGGATAATGAGACTTACCAACCATGTTGCACTCTTAAGTATGTAACAATGGATCAGATGCAAGTGTTTGCTAAAATATTTTCAAATTTTTACTTCAAGTTTCAACAAAACAGGATTTCCAGATCTGGTAACAAGAAAATTAAAATCATCTGGAAATGTTGAATAAAAGATAACTCCCAAAAAATTGTTGGACGCACAGCTGAGCTCACAGAAACACAAGTGTGAAAGCTGCAGTCATGAGGGCTCCTATGTGATTCCAGAGAAGAGGGGGCAGATAAGGAGAAGAACTGGGCATCAGATCCGACCCCCGGCAGACTAGGAGACACAGCCTTGAGCCCACACTTGGGAGTTGAAACTAAGCCACAAGCAGATCTGAAACCTATACAGGTGTGACATGCGAATCCCCAAGCCGAGAAATAAACATAAATATTCCTGGACTGGTGATCCCCTCAAACTACCTGAGGATAACAAGCACAGATTCACCTTAGAGGGAATCTTTCTCAATCCAGGCTGCTTGGAATTCACACACACACAAAATCCCCACTGAAGATGAACTCACAATTTAAAAATAATAATAAAACACAGGGAACTAATTCTCCATGAACAAGAGTCAGCAGAGACAACAGAGGTAAAAAAACCTGAAATAAAAAAAGTACATTCTTAAATATTAAACACATAGAAGAATAAACACCAAGATTGAAGAAACTGAGACCTAGAGAGATTATGAATCGATGCCATTGTGCAAAGCCAGGATTTGGAACCCAGCCATGGACTCCAGGGCTATGCCCCTCCTCTGCACTACTCCCCAAGCCCAAACTAGGAGAGCACGCAGATCAGCTCTGTGGTGGCCGTCCTCTCGACTGGTCATCAACGTCAGCCCCTGGTCACGTCTGCAGAAAGGCTATGGACTCAGTCCATTACTAGGGGAATCCTGATAACAGATGTTTAGATGTGTTCAGAAGATGATCCAACATGCTGCCACCTTTTCCCTCCCAGTCACCTGGACACCCGGGGTCTCTTCCCTCCCTGCTCTCACGTGTCTTCCTCCACTCTCCCCTTGGTCTTTTCCCACTCGATCTGTCCACTCACAGGTCCAACTCTTCCCTGGAAGGAGAGTGGCAGAACTTTCCTGGGCATCATGGAGGAGCCTTTGAATCCCAGAATGGAGTATCCTTGGAAAACAAAATTTTCTGTTGCTTGTACTGTCATAGCTCAACTTCAGTGCATTTTTATGTTCCTCGATATTCTCTGTTTTCCTCTATTTTACCAGAGTCCCCTCCTGGGGAGGGTGAAGGCAGGAGAGAAATCCAGGAGGAGGACTGAGAAAATCCTATACAGCCTCTTATGACAGACGTCTGGCCTTTACTCTTTAAGCAATAAGAACAATTTTCTCCAGGAAACACCACCTTATCCCACCATGTGGGGAAGCACTTCCCAAACATGAGCCACCTACTGTGTACACTGCCTGTCCCACCTGAGAGCTCTCCACAGGTCAAGGGACCTGGGAGCCATATGAGGGTCACAGGGAGCCTCTGCATCTCTCATGAAAGCAAGGTGCATCAGGCTGCTCCCACCCCAAGAGGACACTCTCTTTCCAGATGAAAGCTCACACCTGCCTGTGCTGGGACCCTGTTAGCCGAGCTCTAAGTGAGAGGGGAGACAGGTTCTTGCACCTATTCCCTGCACGCACTCCCTCAGCAGCCCTGCTCCATTCCTCTTCTGCCTATACAATCAGGTCTGCTGCTTCTCAGCCTGATACACCACTACGGGACCACACAGCACAGATCCCCAGCCATTTTGTCTTAGGTTTCACATAACCAGTGATCTAGTCAGGGTTCTCCATAGAAACAGAACCAACAGGGTGTGTGTGTGTGTGTGTGTGTGTGTGTGTGTGTGTGTGTACACAACTGTGAGGGTTGCCAAACAGAACCAACAGGGTGTGTGTGTGTGTACACAACTGTGAGGGCTGCCAAATCCAAAATCCAGGGGCAGGCTGGCAATTCCAGCAAGAAGTTAATGACTTGAGCCTGGAGGCAGGCTGGAGGCAGAATTCTTTTCTTTTCAAGGACCTGAGTCTTTTCCCTTCAGGCTTTCAGTTGACTGGATGAGGTCCACCACATTATGTAGGGTAATCTGCTTTAAATGGTAGAGTCTACTGATTTAAATGGTAGTCATACCTTTACAAAAAATACCTTCACAGCAGCACGTAGACTGGAATCTGACCAAACGGCTGAGCACCACACCCTAGCCAAGATGACACACACAACCTGGGTGACAGGAGAGTGAGCATGGTGACTCTAAATGAGAGAAGGAACTTCACCCCTGGATGTGCACCCCGACTATCCTCCAGTGGAAACCCTGAATACCCTCAGAAAGGGACTGAGAGAAAGGCAAGGGGAGAGGCAAAGAGGGGGGCCCAACAGCAGTAATTGTCTGGAAAGGCCAAGCCCCACAGTCAAAATTCTGAGCACAGCCCTCATCTTCTTCAAACACTTGATAAATTCCACAGCCTCCTCATTAGATGTCAGCCATTCGATTTAGAACTAAAGTTGCTCATGAGAAACAAAAGAACTCCAGAGAAATCTGAAGTTTCACATGTACACCATTCACTCATATGTTTTTGTCAGTAGTAAAATTAGTATTGCAACTTTGCAACTCTTTTATGTAAATGTATAATAAAGTAAATAAACAAAACCTATTGATGTTACTAGGAACCATGATTTTCAACAGAAAAGAGATGCACATAGAAAATACAACAATGCTTAGGTTAAAAACCCCGTATTGGAATTGGAATTACCAGTTTGAACACACAGTTTTTTTTTTTATTGAAGTATCGTTGCTATACAATCTTACATTGGTTTCAAGTATACAACACAGTGGTTCAGCAGTTACCCACATTATTAAATCCTCACCCCAACTAGTGCAGTTACTATCTGTCAATGTAAGAAGATGTTAGAGAATCATTGGCTACTTCGCCATGCTGTGCTCCCATCCCCATGACCAACTTATATTATGATATTCATGTGCCCCTTCATCCCTTCACCCTCCCCACCTGCCCCAACCCCTCCCCCGGGGTAGCCACCAGTCACTTCGCAGCATCTATGAGTCTACTGCTGTTTTGTTCACATTGTTGTTTTCTTTAGTGTATTTCCAGCTTTGTCTACAAAAAGGCACTAAAACAATGACATCCCACTAATGACGAGCATAGCTAGCACCCAGACCTTGATTTTAAATACTATTCCATATTCAAAACAACCAGAGCCTCTCAGAGAAATGGCTGGCTTGAGGGCTCAGCCAGAGAGCATATAAGATGAGCCCAGGACATTTTCCACCAGGAAGTAAAAGAAGTACATAAAGACCAGTGGGGTTATATCAAAAGAAAAAAAGGAGAAAACCTGTTTGGCAGGCTGGAAAAAAGCTTATCATAGAAAATGTATCATAGGAACAAATAATTCCACTCTTAGATCTATGTCCCCTACTCAAAACAATGTGTTCCCCCAAAGACAAGTACCAGAACACTCACAGCAACACAATCGTGATAGTCAGACCTGGAATCATCTAAATGTCCACCTACATTAGAATGGATAAATTGCAGAAGTGATGAAAACACAAACTACAACTACATGTATCATAAGTGAATCTCCTGAACATGATGAGCAAAAACGCCAGTCACAGAAGAGTGCACGCTGTATGATTCCATTTACGCAAAGTTTCAAAACAGGCGAACTGATCAATAGGTTTAAGTGAGGCTGGCGGTTACTGAGTTGTTGGGGGCAGTAGTGACAGGAAGAGGGGTGTGAAGGGGGCTTCCAGGGTAACTAGCAATGTTCTGTTTATTGATCTGGGGACTGGTTTCACAGCTTTTTGCTCTGTGAAAAGTTTTTGAACTACAGACTTGATTTTTTGTGTGTATTTCTCTATATGTCATAATTCAATTTAAATTTTTACTTTAAAAAATGGTAGTCATATCTTAAAAAAAAATTTTTTCACAGTGGCATGTAGACTGGTGCATGACCCAACGGCTGAGCACCACAGCCTAGCCAAGACGACATAATTCTCTGTATGTTATCATTCAATTTAAAATTTTACTTTAAAAAAGCCAGGTTGAAGGGACTCCCCGAGGCCAAATTTAGAACAATTTGAACATCAAAGAGGACAATGATTGCAGCTGGTTATTAAATGAAAATGCACGAATCCGTGTGGGTAGAGAGAGGATAAGCAGGACAGTTCTTCTTTACAAGAAAAAGACACTAATAAATGTAGATGGAATGACAAGATTAGAATGTCACCATTTTATAACCTCCGACAAAATAACTGATTGTGGTAACAATCACCAGAGGAAATGAAAAGCACTGTTAGCAAACAGGGTACTCATATGGTGCCAAAGTAACGTCCCAAAGACCACTCACCTTTATAAAGGACAGCAACTGTACCTTTTCGATGGCAGTCTGGTAGTGAGCACCTTAATCCAATAATTGAACTTAGTATCACAAATAATTGAACGGTTTGACATACATGTCTCCAGCTGGGATGCTAATTAAACAATATAACCTGAGGCAGTGGGTCATCCTGGCTGCATTAAAATCACCTGAGATTTTAAACCACCAAGCATAGGCCACACTGCCAGACCAGTGATAGCAGAATCTCTAGGTTAGGACCCCAAGCACCAGTATTTTTTTAAAGCTTCCCAGGTGACTGCAATGCACAGTTAAGGTATTCTGGATGAAAATGTATGCTCCAAGTCTAACTTCTAGTTTATGGGATATCCAGGAAATAGAGCGGTGGTCCTTAATGCTGACTGCTTATCAGAATCACCCACATGATTCTGAAACTAGGACCACGTGGGCTTCATCTCCAGAGATTTTTATTTAATTGGTTTAGGGTGGAACTCAGGCAATGGTATTCTCTTTTCTAGGGTTTAAGTTTCATTTAAATAACCTCCAGTGAAAACAGAGGGGCCACCTCCACCTCTTCCTTGTGATGCCAGTTAATGGAGATAGGTGGTTCTGCTACGAAGCCAGGGCTGAAGATACAAGGACAGAGGAACAAGTGACCATCATGAAGCAACAGATAAACTAGAATGTGAGACATTCTGTAAGACAACTAGCCCAGTTCCTCTGGGGGTCAATGTAATGGGGGGAAGAAAAAGAACTATTCTAAATTAAAATACATAACAACAACAAAAAAGTAATGTATTCATTAGTTTGATAAAAGCAGCTATAAAGACATTTGGGGGCAAAAATTAGAGAAATAGGAACTTGAGGTTGTTTTGAGATGGTGGATCTTCTTAGGAGGGATAAGATAATGACATTGCAGTTCTGTAGATAAATATCTGTATTCTTAAGTGATATACACTGGATTTTGAGAAGTGATGTGTTAGGATGCGTATATAACTTTGGAGTTCATTGCACTCATCTTTCAACTTCCTTGTATGTTTGAGATAGTTCCTAAGAAAAAATGGACGAAATGAGAAAATTTTTAAATAGGTATAAAAACCTATTCACAAGGCCATTATAATTTCCACCTGTATTGCTTCTCTCTTAAGACTTTTCCAAGAAAACCCACTGACAACTCAACCTCACACAATGAACCTCACACCACACCCAACCATTAAAGCAGCCTTTCTCAGACTTTGCTCACTGGATTGAAATAGGAGTTACCTGGAAAAGATCTCTTACTCAAATGAGTTTGAAAAATGCTGGGTTATGCAGGGTTTTCTTGCTCCTGGATGTCTCAGAAATCTTCCTGTGGCATTGGGAGTAGAAACCTGCATAGAAAAGAAGCATTTCTTAACTCTATTTTGTCCTTTTTGAGCACAGACTCCTTTTATCCCAGAGAATCTTGTAGGTCAAGCATTCTGCTGGCATTTGGAAAAATGCAAGCATGAAACATCCTCTCCCTCATTTTACCACTCCTCTGTCTTTGATTACCCAAAGAGTCCCTGGATTTCCTTCTGGGCCCTGAAAACTCTAAGGGCACTTTTGTAGCCAGATGAAGCTCTGACTCCCAGCCTGTACAATTCCCTCTTCATCAAAATACAAAATGTAATTTTTTTCTGTTCAGGACCCAATTTTTTCTTTAATATGTGTGCACTCTTGTATGTGTATCTACGCAAGCTTTGCTTCAAGTACACTAAGGATGTCTGTTTTAAAGTGTGAGTTTCTGAAAGACCACCCCATGTGTCTCCATCCATTCAGCATCTAGGATGGCACTACACACCACAGGCAGAATTCAAGCTGATAACCAAACAGCAAAAAAAAAGTGGCTAAGGGCTCTTGTCCCAGGGTGCCCCTGTGCCAGTCAGCCCCTCCAACACTGTCATTTACAGGCATCTCTCTGGTCTCCCCTACCCTGTGAGGTGTGTGTTATGATCACAGAAGAGGTTCTGAGAGTCAGAGAGCCGGTGAGGCTGGCCCAGAGTCATACAGTGGGCAGGCAGCAGGGCTGGGATGTGAGCCCCAGTGCCTGATCCCAGACTTCTGCTCTCACTCCAGATGCTATTCTGCTTCCCACAGCTTCAGCCTTAATCCTCTTCTACAGCTCCTGCTCTGTTGCACAGTGTTGGGATTTTCAGGGCTTCCAGGAAAAGCAGATTCAATCTACCCCTGCCATCCACAGCCTGTGCTTTTACATGTAGCACAAGGAACCTGGCAAGTGGCAAGTGCAGCTTCAGAAGCTAAATCATCAGCAGAGTCACCCTTTGACTAAGCCAAGCTGGCCAGTCCTGTGGCATACCCAACCATATAAATGAAGGGCCAATGACAAATGTGAGCACAAAGGAGCTTAATGAGTCACTGCCCAGGAAAACCTGGCTGAGGCTCACCCTGAGATTCTCCAAACCTCCAGGGGTACCTGCAATTATCACTGAACATGGCAGAAAATCCTGGCAGTTCCCCACTCACTCCCCTCCCTGCAAAACACAGAAGCCCTGTGGACAAAGGCCTATGGGAGTTCACTCTACTATGGTCAAATTGAGACTAAAAACTGAGCTTAAACCAAAGAGATGAGAACTCATTCTCAACAGATCTCAGATGGAATTCTAAGCAGTCAAGTGTAGAAGGGTCTCATAATATTTTCTCAATTGTTCAGGACAAAGGAAGACCTCATGTTATTCTGCACAACTCTTAGCCCACACCAGACCCCCAGGCTCTTGGCCTGAAAGTTAATCAAGGCCATGTTCCATGTTAAGGGAGCCCCACGGTTGCCACCTGCTTGGAGTTTCAGTCCATCCAGGAATTTGAATACCTTCCCAGGATCTGAATCAGCCTGTGATTCAGATACGAAGTTGTGGAGTGATGAAATGGTGAAATCTGAAGTTCAACGTCAGGCCATGCAAAACAGGTTCATCAGCTAGCACCATGCTTTGCTCACTTCCTGCCAAAAGGAAGGACATGGCATCTGTCACAAGGAACATTTTTAAGCAAACATAAAGTTATGTTGTTCGGCATGCATTTCCCAACCACCTGCTCTGTACTAGGTGATGGTACTGTATTCTGGTGTTTTAGGGACAGTTTTGTCCAAATATCTTAGCAGTGTTCCTTCTCCCATGGGCCCCAGAAATGAAAAGCAGTTTCTTCATTATTAAGTTACAAGAGGTTCTAAACTCTTGAGACATCAGTTTGAAGCTCTTTACAGTGAAGTCTCTTCTTTTCTACTCAATATTAAGGAGTAATTAAATATTATGTACATTAGTTTACCAGGCATCTAATGCAAGTTTTCTCTTACACAATCAACCTCACACTACACCCAACATCTTTCAAAGTCCAAATGGACAGTCAGGATCCCCCAAGTTGGAAGGAGTGAACTAAATAAGATCTGTCCACAGTCAAGCATGGTGACCACCCAGAAAGCCCTTCTCTCTTCATGTACCCACTTCCCTATCATATCAAAGATGACTGACAGTGACAGTATCCAGTGAAGACTTTTCCTTTCTCCTTTAGGCTTGAGCAGTGAGCTTCTCTAGTCTCTGCCAGAGTGACTTAAGTAACAAGTCTGAAAATATTATCGTGATGTAATACCAGCCACATATAAAATAGAAAACCATTCTGCAGCCATGCCGCATCTAGTCCCTTGTTGTGGGATGGAAATGCCTAAGCCACGCTGGTCAGACTCTCCTGGTGACTCTTTAACAAAGAGAAAAGCTTGGACTCATGACAAATAGCCAAAGGCTCTCTCGGTCTTTCCCCCAGAATCTTCAGGGGCTCTGCCCACCCAGTAAAAGCATAACACAGGTAAGATACTGCCGACTTGCCAAGAGCTCAAGTCTACATGGGTGGACAGAGAGCCTGCTTTTAATCAGGCAGACTGTAATAATGGCCATGGGGGGGGGGG